CATTTAGTGTTGTTAATAACAGCCGTATTATTCTGAGATTATGTAGGGTAGGCTGAAATTAGTAAGCGCATTTGCAAATGGAAAGTTCATTAATGTCATTGACAAGAATGTGTTCAGAATGAGAGAAGATACAAAGTAAAAATGATATAAAGGGAAATATTAATCTGAACTTGAAATTTAACTTCTTTGTTTAAAAAAATATTTTTTAGCTTTGTTCCTTGAAGAACCCTAGAAGTAATGAATGACAAGTGAAAAATAAGCACTCCTGAGTCTCAGGTTTTGGCCTGCAGCTCCCATGGGCCCTTAGAAAGAACCCAGGCTCCTGGAGCAGTGGCTGATGCTGGGTCTGGGTCACGAAGTGTGGAGGGGAGCCTGGGGCAGGTTGTGTCTGAAAGCAAGCAGGCGGTGAGAGTAGGCACAGGTTCTGTCAAAATGTACTGGAGCCAACTGGAAGATGTTCCTACTGGCCAAAGATGGCACACGTTAGTACACTGAAAAACAGGAGTTTACAAGCGGATATTGATGCTTCAGAAACCAAAACAAAATCTCCAAACCCTCAGTGGGTACTTGTAGAGGTTGCCTGTGCTATCAGTCTGAACACTGATAAAGGGAAGGAAGGAGTGGTGTGTCTTTGCTGCTTTTCTTCCCCAGGCTGGGTAACCAAATGGTTGGTAAGGTAAGTTCTTTTAGAAGAATTATTTCTAATAAATATAGAAGGAATTGTAGAATTAGAAAATAACCGTCTTTTACCCCAGTGAAATAATAGACCCAGGTAGTTGAATGTAGGTAATTCATAAAATCAGTGGGAGCTTTTTAAGGAGTAAGTCAGGCTGACGGTGTGTGGGCCTCCTGATCACTCTGAGCATTCCTAAAAGTTGATCATGCATCCTGCGTGTACCGGTGATGGTACACAGAGTACATAGCACCGCTACAAGATTCCCTTGGCACAGAAAAAGGAACCAGCCTAATCCGCCCTCTCCATGTAACTCCTGCAGTGTGGAGTACCAGCAGGGCACAGCCAGCTCTCACCTGGAAATTCTGTAAGGCAAACAACATGGCTTGTTTCATCATTATCAGGAAAAGTTCAAAGAAAGTAGAGATAATAAACCAATTTTGTATGTGAACCTTGTTTGAATTGTGATTCAGACAAATAGTCTCTATAGTTTTTTTGAGCAGGTGGAGAAAGGTGACCTGTACCGAATGTTTTATAGCAAGGAATTACTCTTTTGTTGTATGCCGTAACATTGTGGCTATTAAAAAAAACTATTCCAGATACATACTCAGTCTTTTCAGGTAAGAAAAGGGGATGCGTGGTATTCGCTTTAAAATATTCTGGACTCAGAGAGGAGGGAACAAGTGGAGGGAGAGAGGGGAGAGAGAAGGAAAGGAAAGAGGAAAGAAGAAACAAGAGTAGCAGAATGCTGGCAGTTGTTGAAGCCGGGTCCTTGGCAGCCCTTGAAGATGGCCCCTGGGAATTCATTTTATTTCCTCCACTGTGTGTTATGTGTGAGACTTTCTGTAGTAAAATTAAAAAAATTTTAAAAGGCTTATGTCGTTTTACAGAGTGGTGATATGACATAGAATGTCTGTGAATTAAATGTTTAGTCTGCTGGAAACTGATGGTTTATAACACTCAAGATACTTCTTTAGGTTCTAGTGGAAGTAATACATTATAGGAATTAGTAAAACATTAATAGTTCATTTTGGCCAGAAGTTAAGTAATTCATTATTGTCTTAATAGTTAACTTACATTTATATAGTTTACATTCAGTGACTATAAAGATACAGGGAAGGGAAACCCTCAATTTCTCCTACTGTAACACTACAGAATACTTCTCTGACTGCTGGTCACCAGTCTGAGGGACTTCTCTGCCACCAGCAAGCAAGAAACTGCAGATGGTTTTCCTGTAGACAGAAGCTGGTGTCCTCTATTCAGCTCAGTTCTGACTGTATCTGGAGATCCCACAGGTTGAGGCACATTCTAAGAGATGCCTCCACCTCAGAAGCTGGTCAGGCACCGGCTGTGGCCCTCCCTCTGACCAGCCACTACAAATCGGGTTCCAGAACCTGCCTCCTCGCATTTGATTAATTTGCTAGAACAGCGCCCAAAACTAAGGAGGACACTTACATTTGCCCTTTGGCTGCAAAGGATATTACAGAGGATTCAGATGGACCACCAGATGGAAGAAGTAAGGAATGGGAGCAGGGGTGGCACAGAGCTTTGACATCCTCTCTGGGTGTGCTACCCTCTAGGACCTCTTCGCTGAGATTCCAAAGACTTAGGGGCCACGCGGCAGGAAATGGAGTGAAGACCAAATCTGTAATTTATAGCCTCACAGGGCCTCTCAGTGGTCCTATGTATTGATTGAAGTTTTAAGACTTGTGGTACCTATTTTAAACTCCTGTGTTGTTTTGGGTTGCTTATAGTAAGAATTTGTACTTACACATTTTAAGAATGGTACACTCAATTTGCTTCCAGGGGAAGCTAGATTGTTCCTAACAGTTAAGTATTGTGGAAGGATAACCTTTCTCTTGGTCTCTTTGGGTGTAAGGATGCCCAAACCACAGATCTTACTCAGTATGACAATTTGTATTGTGGCTGTTTTTAATATGTGGCCATTTTGTTGTAGCCATGTTGTATGTATTGTCTATTTGAAAATTTTTATAGTTGTGACTTGGGACTTGGATTTGGGTTTTCATTTTAACGCTTAATACAGCTAATATTGAATTATTTTAGTAGAAATCAAGGAATAGTTGTGTTATGAGCAAGCTATGTCACTAACAGACCAGGGACGTTTGTGTCTTTTTCACAGTGTTATCCATAAATTCATGACCTATATCAGTTTCTTCAGCCTTATCAGGCCGGGGACTGAAGATTCATTCTTTCACTTGATGGCCAGTGAGCCAGGCGATTGCAGGTTCTTTCCTTCCAGTCTTAATTGCTAATGTCTGTAACACTCAAGTCACACATCCTACTCCATTGAGTAATACACAGATTACAGAACAGCGAGGAGAGGGTTAACGGTGGCTGGAGGACTTGAAGAGAAGAAACTGCTGCCAAGGCGGGGGTCTGCAGGGATGCGGGATGTTACTAGATGGCCAGATCAGACTGCTGACGGGCCGAGCTGCTTGGAGGAGGCTCCAGGCTGCTGGGGCGCAGTTGGTCAGAGCCTGAGTCTGGACAGCAGGCAGTTGGCATGGGCTGCGTGGAGCAGGGAGATGGAGCTGAGCTGAAGCCGAGGCACACAGCTGGAGTTCATTGTCAACTTCATGACATGCTCCCCAGGTGGGCTGATGTGATGACAGGTCAGTGTGACACTGCCAGTCCCCAGTGCTGGGTCTTGTCCTCTGATAAGATCTAGCAAGAGGGTGTGCGGTTGGTTGTTCTGATGTGTTTGACAAGCTCCCTGGCTTGGTTTTGTCTGCTGTAACTTAGGTATTAGATGCCTCATGCAGCTGTGTGACCTTGGTTTAATTTGGTAAGTTTACAGGTGGCAATTTTATATTACTGACATAAATTTATCAGTTTGTGCTTGACTGCTGTCTACTGGAAGTTGTTCTTTTTTTTTCCGTAAGTTTGATGTGTCCAACTTGCTGGCCGTGGTTTGTTTGCACAGGTGAGTTACTAGGTTATCCTGTGAACACTTTTGCACTCAAAATGAAGCAAACTGCTGTTGTATAAAATGGAGTCACTCAGAGCAGGGCACAGCCTAAAAACTACTCTTTGGTAGAGCATGGAGTAACTCACAGAGGTGTGCAGCCCGCTTGCTACTGTGTGCACCGAGCTAATGGTAGTGCTAACAGTGGACAGGGGCAGATTTTATTAAATATGAAATATGACAAGTAACCAGAACATACATTTGTTTTGAGTTGCATATAGAGATGACAACTGCGTATTTATGCATTCATGTTGATTTTTCATTTGTTTTGTTTTTTTGAGATAGGGTCTTGCTGTGTAGTTCAAGCTGGGCTTTAGCTCACAATGATCCTCATGCCTCAGCCTCCTGAGTGCTGGCCCACCATCCCAGGCTTACTTTTTCTTTAGTCTCACATTTTTGAAAATGTGTAAAGGTATTTGTGAGAGTGGCAGGAACAATAAAAGCTAGAATAGTTACCTAAAGTTAGAACTGAATTCAAATGGCCCCAGAACTAAAACCAATACATTGTTCTGAATTGTTCATAAGAAGAAAATAAGTCTTATGTGTATATTTCAGATTAAAAGTACTGACAATACAAACTAACTGATGATCTTAAAATTTTACACTGTGATTAGAAATCAAAGGCCAACTATGTTCATTTGTTTAATGTTGAGTTTTAATGATAGTCATACTTGCATTGCATTACAACTGAAAAGACAAATTTGTAATTTACTATTTTGCTAACTTTTAAAAATATGGTAATTACCTGTGTTTTATTATAAATATGCTGCCATTTTCTGAGCTCTTAAATATCTTAAGTGGGACTTTGAAAAACAAATATTCTTAAACTTTGTCAGTTTTCTGCTTCTTTGTCCCTAAAAGGAATTGTGTTTTTTCCAAGTTTAAATTTGTGTAATTAGAGAAATTGAATTCTTTTCTTTATCCCATTTCTCAGTTGACGAAGGATCAGAGATTGGTGTATTCGGGCAGACTGCTTCCCGATCATCTGCAGCTGAAAGACATTCTCAGAAAAGTAAGCTTTTCTTCCACTTGAAACCAATACACAGTTAGAATGTGAGAGATGTGTCCTGTTCTTATTTAAGGTCAACTCTTTCGGGTAGCATTACAGGTAAAAATTAAGTTAGAAAGTGAACGGCCTGATAAATTTCTGATTAGTTCAAGTAGCTATTGCAATTTATCTGATAGGTGAATTTGAAATAGGATTATATATTTGCATCCAGATATTTGTTATCTTTGTAGGAAAAGAACACTATTGCCTTTTAGTAGTGTAAGAGTAGAATGTCCAGGTAGTGGTGAAAGATTGACTGAACAATCTTTCCTGTAAATCTTTTGTCCAAACTTGTGCTTGCTTCGGCAGCACGTATACTAAAATTGGAACAATACAGAAAAGATTAGCATGGCCCCTGAGCAAGGATGACATGCAAATCTTTTGTCCCAACTTGTTGGTGTTTTAGTACAGATTGCTCGCACTGGGAGTTAACTGCAGGACAGGAAATAGAATGAAGTTGAATTGGTGTACTCATTAGCAAGCTTTCTGATGTCCAGAGTTAAAATATATTTCAACATGGAATTTTGACAATATACTTGATGTTAATTATTTTAATGGCAGCTTTTAGCTTGTATTTGTAAAGTTTATATTTTTCAGGACTTTTTAGCACTTGGAATGCTGTATTTTGCTTTTGAATATAGAAGACTTGAGTAGCTTTGTATTTTGCATATAATTTTTGGCTTAACTATTAATATTGTTCTTGATATTCTGATATAATTTAGAAGATCTATTTTTAATCTGTATATTTATGATCATCTGTGGAAAGCTGAAAAAAAAATCTTGTTCTAACATACTCCTTCTGTGTAGGTGGTTGACATTTTGGCTTTGCCAGTATGACTTCTGTCATTTTTATTATGTGGTTTCATATAGTTTGAAGTGTTTAATCTGTACCTCCTCAAAAATGGTACAGTTTCTCTCTTTTTACAGTAGACTTTATTTTATTTTTTAATTTTTTTTGTCTTTTTTTGAGATAGGGCTCACTATACAGTTCAGGCTGGCCTTGAACTCACTTTGTAGCCCAGGCTGGTCTCGAACTTGCAACAATCCTCCCACTTCAGCCTCCCAAGTGCTGGGATTACAGGCATGAGCCACCACGCCTGGCTAGTAGACTTTATTTTTTAGAGCAGTTTAAATTTTGAGCCAAATTGAATGAGAAGCCCAGAGATTCTTCCTGCGTTCCTTGACCCCATCCATGCATGGCTTGTGCTACTATTGATGTCTGCACCAGAGCAGTACAGGTGCTATGATCATGAACCCGCATCGCCACGTTATCCTTCCATGTCTGCAGTTTATGTCATGGCTCGCTCGTGGTGGTGGTCATCCCGTGGGTCTGACAAATGTGTAATGACAAGTCCCCACCATTATAGCCTGCTTGGAAGTTTCAAAGGCCTTAAATAGTCCTAAAGACCCCTGTGTTCTGCGTGTTTTTTCTCCTATTGTTATATTTTGCTTTCTGTTCTTTGAAAATACAGATGCATTTATTATTTTATCTCAAGGGCAGCTTGAACAACCTGCATGTGAATACTTTTTCAAAGGCTTTCGGTGTTAGAAATTAGTTCAGATAAGATGACAAAATAAAAACTGCTGAGGGCTGGGGATTTAGCTCAGCGACATAAGGTACCTGCCTGGTGAGTGCGAGGTCATGAGTTCGATCCCCGGTACCAACAAATAAGATAAAAACATACAAATAAAAACTGCTGAAAGAACTGTTGGGCCCCTATGTCATACATTTCGGGCAGCATGTTTACATTCTGAATAGAACTTTGAGCTGTTTTTGTAGCTTCAAAGAAATTAAATACTGCCATTAACTTTATCTGCTTCAGTATAAAATGTTTTATAGAGTCAATAAACGCTGTGAGTTACCTGTGATTAGTGTGACCGTTTGGAACTATGTACGTGTGTGAGTGTGAACATCTTACACTTGGATGCTTTTTACTCTTCTGTACTCAGGAGCTAAGAAATGAGCAAGTTCAGCCTGCCCTGCTCAGCTTCTCTCCTACTGCGCTGTCTCGGTGCAGCCTTTCCTCAGCATTCTTACCCGTTAACTTCTTTCTCAGAATGCCTAAAGCAGTGGTAGTTGGTACCGCTCAGCTTTCTGTAAAAGACTGCTTTGTGTATTTCTCTTGTGCTCTAATCCACTAGTCTAATCTCTTCATACCGCGAACCTCTAAGGACAGTGCTGACCTTAGCTTTCTTGGATTCACCTGAGAATTCAAGCATAATTCTGGGTTCATGGTAGGCCGCTGCTAATCAAGTCTTAGTTTTTAGTAGGTTTGCTTCCTTTTTCACCACTGGGCATCTTTTCTTCCTGCCCTCTTTATCATTCATTTGTTATTCTTTTTGTTCTCTCTCTTTCTCTTTTTTTTTTTAAAGCACTGATTCATCGTTTTTCTCAATTTTCCTTTATTTGCTTTTATTTCTCCATCCTCTTTGTTTTGCATTTAAGTATAAATATATGCATGATCTCACTGAGCTTAAAATGCTAACCTTCATCATAATTTACATTGTTTTCCTTCAACCATGGTTGTAGGATTGTGGAAACACGGAATATTTACAGAATGCAGAACACATGTATCTTTATATTTGTGTATGAATGTTACAGATAAAAATATTTGACTTAAAACAGTAAAAGGCTGTACTTCACCTTGATAAAATTGAGGAAATGAGAGCCCTATGAAATGACTTGGATTTCTTTTATCAGTACTGATGCTCACTATTCACTGTTTGTGGGCCTAAGCTTCAAGGTGACTTTCATAGGTGAAAGTTAGGTGCTCAAGGGAACTGTGCAGCATTGTTTGCTTCAAGACTGCTTGATATGCAAAGAAATTTTTTTTAATGTTAGTTACTGAGTAGTTACTCAATATTTAGACCTTTTTTCAAGCATGAAGAAAAGACATTCAATTCAAAAGGCAAATAATAAAATGGTAAACTCAGCTTCAAATATGACAGTTTATTACTAATAAAATGGCTAGTCTAAAAAGGAACTTAATTTTTGAGTTGAGTATTTCAACTTAGCTACTGACTTGTACATTTCCTAATGTAACCTTTTAAATGTAATCTTCTTTAATTTTAGCAAGATGAATATCATATGGTGCATCTAGTATGTACTTCTCGGACTCCTCCCAGTTCTCCAAAAGCCAGCACCAATAAAGAAAATCATGAAACGTTGGCATCCAGCAGCAGTTCTGTGAGTTGTCTTGGGTGAAGAAAATATTAAAGTTGTCTGATTCTCCTTTTTACCTCTAAAAACTAAAGGGAAAACTGAAGAACTGGAACTTGGAAATTTTGAAGTTGTTTTGAATAGCTAGGAGAAGGATTTGAATTTGTTTTAGAGCTGTAATATACAATGCTATCTTGAAGCTTGTTTACCGTGAGTTATAATATTTGGAAAGGCAGGTCAATAGGATAGCCAGTCTCCATATGTTTAATCACTGAAATAATTAGAAAACAGTATTGTGATGTGGATCAATAGTGTAGATACTCAGGTCAGTGAAGTTTCAGAAATATTAAGACACTTTGTGTAGTGTACTGTGTTTTGTCCAAGATAGATTTCATTGTTTAAATTCCAAGTTACCTTAAATGTTCTTGACATAGATTACTTGATCAAAGGTTTTGTGTTTTTTTTTTTTTTTTTTTTTTAAAAACCACTGGGTTGAGTGCATATGTTCAACAGCAGAGGAAGAGTTATTTAATGTACTTGTCTCTTTTGGACTTGGATGTTAATCTCACCTTTTTTAGTTTTCCTACTGCCTAACGTTGGTTTAGAAAGTTTTTATAAGTTGCACTCTTCAATTTAGACATTTTCTATAAGTTTGGAAGACATTGGTCCAGATTATTTTATGTTAAATTATGTTCGACTCCATGAAAGTTTTGTATTACATGTGTCGGGGTGAGGGGATGTTGACTGAGAGGCAGCTTATTCTAACTGCTTGGGAAACTAGAGAATTTATATTCTGCACATTCTGCTTTTCTTGAAAAGAATGTAGTTAAGTCTTGAGGGGATGAGTGGCAGGAGTGACACCTAGTTGAAATTATTTCCTAGTAGATATTAGTTAACTGCTTCTTTGCTATATTTAGTCAATTTGGTCTCCATGGTAAGTATTCTCTAGCACTGGCCATAGAAATGTAGCTTACATTAAACTGAAATATGCCTTGTACAATACCCAAGGATCTTCATAGGCTTTCTGCATTGGCATAAGAAGAAACAAATATTGGCATTGGCTTGCAATTTTGTGTGTAGCCTTTGTATACAGTAGCAATTCTTCTATTTTTATTAGGCAAGAACCCCGTGACTGATGTCTGTAGTGATTTTTCAGTGATAATTTTGTGTCATTAGTATGCATACATTTTTTGTGTTATAAAAATCTAAAAAGGATCAAAGGAAAGTTAAGTTGAATTTTCCTAAATTTTTCATGGCTTAGAAATTTCAGAGGGATTACAAAATGTGTTTAAGAAAATCTAACCATGTGTTTTAAAAAGTCTCATAAACGTTCTAAGACTAAGGTTGGAAATCATTAATTCCAGAGAAATTGGGCTGAGCGGAAGAGCTAGCAATTTTTTGTCTACTAATTATGTTAATGAACACCATGTTATGATGTTCCTTTTAATGAGAAAGCTTGCCCTAAAAGGCCTTCCCCAGTTTATGTCCTGAAGAATGAGAATATTTAGTCTGTTCTTTGTGCAAAATAACATCTTAAAGCTGTTGTTAAGAAACTTGTGTGCCTAGGACCTTTTCTAGGCCAGAGTTTAGGAAAGTAGATATAAAAAAGGAGATCCTTTCAATTGGTAGGCAATACAGGTAAACTATTATTTTGTAAAACTGGAGAGGATGTTAAAATAATATTGTATGCAGCTTTTTAAAGTGAGAGAACTGAAATTATATAAAATATAATTATGGTTTAAGTTTATACAAAACTCTTGATAAACTGTTTTCTAGCAGCAACAAATTGAGGTGGTCTTCCAGGAATTACATTATTTAAGATTATTGGATCCATGAATTATTGACTTCATTTGAACATGAGAATTAAGAAGTCCTGATGGATATCTTGTTTATTTTATAAAAATAACAGTATTTGAAATAGTACCTGCAAACTATTAAAATTTTAGAACTGAAAGGAATTTTGAAGATCTAGTTCAATTTCATTTTCTCTAAGAAAGCAGAGACTCTTGAGAGGTTAAGTGAATCATTATGGTCTTTGTCAATGCCAAAGACAGTATCAGAGTCTAGATCTTTTGATTCCCAGTATGTTTAGTATGTTAAACAAGTATGTTAGCAATAGTATGGTATGTAGTACCTGGTGCATAAGAACTGTTTAAATAACTCAGTAAGCAGTAATATTTATTGAGCACTTCTGTTAGGCATGGTGAAAGGAGCTTTGCATACATTGATTGAATCT